ACATTCTACCTGCAATCTACCTGCTGTCCATACAACAGGAATCCAGAGCTAGGCAGCCAGCAAAGAGAATATGCTCAACTGGGGGCATGAAGCACACGTGTTCTAGCAAGGAAATTCAAACTGCTCTTCACACCCTGCTTTATGTCTGAAGCTAAAGTGCTCTTCAAAGTCCCTGGAGAAATAAACTGTCTCTACCCAGATGATAAGATGTCTGGCCCCTGATCTTAAAAGTAGCTCCCTTGGTAGTTCTGGCAAGAGGAGTTTAACATGGATCAATACAGACAACATTGTGCCATGACAGCAATCAAAACTGACTACAACACTGCAACTACAGCAAGAGAAAACATCTGAAGTAGGTGGCTGATTTCTTACAGGGGATCACAAAATGTCTTTTCATATATGTATTCCTAGGGGTAATCAGAATATGAAGACACACAAAACCAGATGTGCAACCAACACCAGTTGGTTGCACATCTGGTGCTATGTGGCTGCTACAAAAACAGATCTAAGAACTACATGAGTGTTTTTTCTAACAGGACCATTTTTTAGCTTTAGTAAACTCCAGACATCAATGTCACGCAAAGGAACAACATAATATTAAATAAGTGTCAATGTAAATTGTGAACATAATAAAAAATATATAAAAGAGATGTTATTTATGTCTCCTCCACCAAGAGCTGGACGTATGCTTCTATGCTGACTGCTCAATGTCATTTCACAATGTCACATCCCAACAATAAGAGGAATGCTTTGAATTTCCTTTTTTAAAGCTAATTTGTAACGCATGGAGAAAACTTTCAGTCATGTATCGTTACAGTGGTATTTGGTTAGTAACAAAAATATATAGTAAATCTCTTTTGCAAAGTAATTAAACAGATTGTCAATACGCATTATTCATTAACACCTTGAAGAAGAATAAATTATATAAAATTGCAGTTCTTTTGAAGTTAAAATAAAGATGATACAAAAAAAATTATTGGAGAATAATTATTAGGTTAGTGATTAGATCTTTTAAAAAAATCAGCTAATCACTTATGCTGTGGTCTATGTAAATACAGAATGACAAGAATGCAGGCAGAGTAAAAAAAATTAATTATTTTTTCACAAGCCTTTAAAATTCACATATATTATATATATGAAATAACTGGGATGTTCTAAATACAAAACCATTAATATTTTACCCCTTGGCTCTGGTACCAAGTCATGACTTGAGTGTCCATCCTTCTTGAAATCCCTAGTATAGAACCTGTACAGACTGATAAAGAGTAATAAATAGCTTTGAGCTTTATAAAACTCGTACAACATAGACTAAGTGAGAGGTAATTACTTAATCCTGATGGAAAGTGAAAGACAGATATTTCCATGGGGTAGCTTGTGAACCACACCAAGGTTAGTACAAGGAAAGGAAACTATAAATGTTCCATGGAACCCAAGTCCCCCAAGGCTATTATTTTATATACTGAAAAAAGTTACAGATTTTAGTCCTTGGCTTGATTTTTCCAAGATATTTTGCATGTGTCCTTTGAAAATCAGACCTTCAAGATCATCCAGTCCAACCATGACCACCCCTAAACCATACAGATGCCCTTCGAACTCTTCCAGAGATTATGACTTCCCACTTTGCCCGGGCAACTTATTGCCATGTCTAACTACTTTTTCAGTGAAAAAAAAAAATGAAGAAAAAAAAGAGAATATGTAATCTGAACCTCTCCTGGCACAGCTTAGGGCCATTTTCTTCTCATCCTTTCATTTGAGACATGGAAGAAGAAAACAACCTTCATCTCACTACACCCTCCTTTTAGGCAGTTGTAGAGAGTGATGAGGTCTCCCCCTCAGCCTCTTCTCCATGCTAAACACCCCCTGCTCCCTCAGCCACTCCTCATAAGACATGTTTTCTAGACCACTTGACAGTTCTGTTCCTGCCTCCAGACATGCACCTCAATGTCGTTTTAGACAAGAAAACCTGAACACCATACTTGAGGTGTGACCTCACCAGTGCTAAGTACAGAGGGATAACCATGTCCCAAGTCCTGCTGGCCACATTGTTCCTTATACAGGCCAAGATGCCATTGACCTCCTTGGTCACATCTTTCTAAAAAGATAATTAACAAATCTTGACTAGATATTAAAGGACAGTAACAATAAGCTATCAATGGGAAAATACCTTTCAAAAATTATTACTACATCTATGTAATATTCCTCTAATAGATTAGATTCCTCTATCTAATATTCCTGCTAAACAGACATTAATTATGTTTAGTTTTGCTCATCTGATACCTATTATATATCAGGGAAATTACTTTTAATTGGAATTTACCTTTCAAGTTTCTTACCTTGTACACTGGAATAAGAGATTGTATCCCTGAACATTTCTTTGCTTCCAAGTCATATTACATAATCTGATGAGACTTGCACACTTTGCCTGTACTATGTTTTTACACGATTGCAAAGAAACAATTTTAAAAAAATATTTATTTGATAAGCTATTCAACATTTGTCCTTAAGAAAAATTCACATCAGTTGCCTATCTTAGTATGAGATGAATGCTTTACACAAGACCCTATTTTTACACACTGAGTATAAAAAGAACATGGAATAACTGCTCAGATTTGGAATGTGACTTTTATGTGCAAGGTCAGTATATTCACAGAACTTTTCCAACTAGAAACCTGATTGCAGAAAGGCTTTTATTATGCCAAATTGTCAGTGGCTGTAGCTTTATAGTTAAAAATAGAAAGGCAACAGATAATACAAATCAACAGTGTTGCAATCATCAGATAGCAATGGCAAACCATGACCTGGCTCTTCATGACCCCTTGAAATATTGCAATTACTATTGTCTCCATAGAAAGCTCAACACTGACTTATGCTAAAACAGGAAATATTTTTATATAATGTCAAAATGTCAAAGCAGTCCAATTTCAGCAATTACTTTTATCATTACTATCTTCCTATTTTGAGCAAACACTCTTGAGGTTTCTAGCTGCACTTCTGATTTCCTATCACTCTCTCGTTACACAAATAAAATTTCTTTGTTTACATCTATCTGTATATATATATATATATATGTATATATGTGCATGTGGAAAAAATATATTTGATTTTCAAATCCATTGCCTCTTTAAATACATGAACTTTAGGTTCATAAACTAAATAATTTTACTGTCAAACACCTGCCCCTAAGAGTGTGACTCTTTCAGACTTAATACAAATTTCCCACTCTTGCTCAAACGTGTGTGAGAGGACATGAGCGTGCTGATGTTACTCAACTTTTAACATGACAACCTTCTAGCACTCACATTGAATACTAACTACGCAAAGTAGAAGACTACCTACCATTCCATGAGTCTGCAGAAGTAAATTAATTCTGCAGCACACAATTTAAAAAATATAATTGGATATGATCAAGGAGAAGGTGTTTTATTAAAAGTGCTGCAATGATCTGTTTGTTTTCTGCATTAAATTCCTGCACTGATTTAGTAATTCACCATGAACTTTTTACTTTCCAACAAACATTGACATTCAGAAAAGAATAATATTTCAAAATTGTTTTGTTTTAAAAACTGCATGATCACATTCAAAAAGATTTAAACTGGATAGTGTTATCATAGCTTGAAGCATGGATGGTTAAACAATCCCTAGATATGGAAACAGTACTTTCAAATATTCTATTGGAATGCAATCTTCTGCACAGAGACAAATTCTGTGCTTTTTAAAAGCTATATTTTAAAATTGTTTAGAGAGTTATGCCTAAATGTTTCCAGTACAAATGACTAAGTATTATAATAAGCAAAAACATACATGGGTGTCCTATTTCAAAAGCACATTGTGCTAAAAAAAAAAGAAAAAACAGGGGAAAAAAAATAAAACCTCCTCTGAAAAAAGGCAACCTTCCAAAAGATTCTCACAAACTTTTCTGTACATTAATATCAAAATCATACATTTGTCAAAATCTGAATTCAACATGTCCATCCACTAGTGGAAACTAAAAATTGTATTTGCACAATATGTCTGATCAGACAATAGTTTCAGATAATCCAATGCATTATAGATCATTAACAGATACAGAACAATTTTAGACAAAGGTTTTTTGCTGGTTTTGCTATCTATTCTATTATTTCCCATAAACTAATGGAGAAGAGAAATGTGCTGTGACATGCGAATTGGAATTTTATAACTAACTACATAAAAATATGGGTTATGAAGGTTAAAATCCAGTGTGGAAGACTGCACTGATCCTAGCAGAAACACTGCTATTTTAAACTGTGTAGAGTTCTGTATTTTGATATACAAAAAGTCACTACTCTGCTGCCGGCTAGTACATACTCCTAGTACATACTCCTACAGTTTCCATTGAACACAGAGGTTCTTTCAAGTGTACATCTGACATACTTTGCTGATATTGAAGATTCTAGCCAGAGATTAACTTATTAAAGCGTGTGTCTTTTAGACTCACCTACCACCCTTCCCTGTCATCAACAACAAAACAGCTACTCTAAATTCTAGGTGGAACAGTCTAAATTGCCAGTAAGCTTTAAAGTAATAGAAAGAAAAGAAAAGAATAGAAAACAAAACCAAACCAAACAAAAACCATCAAACTTATACACTGGGATGACCAGCCCAGTTCCCTCATAAGAGAGATACTATATGGAACATATATAGTAAACTGCTCTTGCTTTTTATTTAGTGATGACAAGAAACCAAAAGATGCTTGGTGCAGTCACCATGACACTTTTGATTTGGGCAAACAAAAAATTATATGATCCAGATATTATTTCAGAAGATATGTTTTTTAACCAAAAACATCATAATACATAGAGCACCAGCCCACTCACTGCAGAATATATATAAAAATTATATCTGAACCAATGTTCAAATAAGTACATACATTTTTCCTCCAAAATTATAAGATTTCTATATATCATGGTAAAGGAAAAAGAAAAAAACCTAGAACTTAGTACTTGAAGAAATGAGGTACATAAAGTTACTGTAATACTTACCACTGTGAAATTCATAACCTTCAAAATCCATATTGTCATTGCTAAATTAACAATCATGGTAACCAACAGCAGAAGGACAAAGAAGTATAAGCACCTCTTTCGCCATCCATAAATCCCTACTGGGTAAAACTGAGGATGCTCAGTCCTTGGAAGGCTGTTCTGTTGTGTTGCTAATATATACTGCTCTCGTGTCATCTGTAAAAGAAAGATGTAAGTATAAGTAAGTAAATGAGAGGCCTGTTTTCCACAGGTAATATTACATAAAAATTATCTAAGAATGTATAGAAAATCAGTTTCTATAGGCACAGAAGAGATACATTCATCTAGCATTAATCACATAAATGTTATTTGTACTAGTCATCTAGCATGAATTTGATGGATTTTATGAATTTAAATTTTTGGTTTCTATTTCAAATTGGATTTGTATTTCAAATTTATCAGCAATAAACTATTAAAATATAAAAGAAATCCATGCATGCATTTGACACTATAATTCTGAATATTGTTTTGTTGTCCTTTATGAGATCATTCTGTAAAATTTGGTTCTGGAGGAAGAGAGTCATGTACCTTTTCTTTTGTACTGGTTTTGGCTGAGATAAAGGCAATTTTCTTCATATAGCTTGTAGCCAGTACACTCTCTTTTACAAATAGAAGAAAAATCTCACCTTTCCAAAATACATCTTTCATAAATTAAGTTTTCAGCCTTTTATTATACTTAGCAAATTAAATTAATAATTAATGCTATTATACATGCCTCCTTTACCAGAAAAACCCAAACATTTTGCCCTTTAAGAGATGGATACAATTATAATCTGTTAAATTCCTGAACTAGTTGAAATTCTTCTCACACACAAGCAAACAGTAACCATTTGCAAACTGCTTAAAGAACTTTCTATCAATATTTCCTTAAAACAAAATTATTTATGCTATTTAATAAGAAACTGTTTAATTTTTTTTTCTTCCATAACTGTCTTTTACAGATATTTATATTCATATTCAGCTGTCAAATTGCCTTTAGACTGGAAGGTATTACATTTTCTCTGTAACTTAAAAATTAAATTAAAACAGTCTCATTCTGTTTCTGTAAGAGTTCTTTCTGTAATATGCCCATTAGAAATGTTGTTTTAATAGGTTTTGTGCTCGGGAGGAAGACAAAACAAAACAAAATTTAAAAATTCAAAACAACCAAACACAAACTCAACAAACCTATAAACCAGATAAAACAATCAATTTTAGACAAAGGTTAAATGCTATCGTTCTTTTGACTGACAAAAACTAAAAATGCATAAAAATGAGTCAGCTGGTCCAATGAGAAATAAAAACCAGATTACATTCATTTGAAGGATCAAAGAAATGTTAATTTCATAAGATTTTTAAAATGTGAAGCTCAAAAATGTTCATGTAATTATCTGTGTTGCTAGATATTTATCCAAATCAACACTCTTTAGGTTTTACCATTCTTCTAGTGAATGAGATATTAATGGAATAAATTAACTCACAGTGAATAATTAGAGACATAAGTCAAAGAGCACACATCCATATTGTGACAGTATATATATCTCTGAAATAAGTCAAGACAGAAATAAAGGTTTTTAAAAGTAGATTTTAAGTAGGTTATTAAACAGGTATTTTGTAATTTTTATTTTTTTTCAGTCATGATTTCTTCTCTTTACCCTCAGTTTCAATTAAATACAATGTTTAGGGGTTTATTTATGTAGTGAATTTTATAAAAAAAAATTCCCTCAATGACATTTCTCAATTTTCCCAAAGCAAAATCTGGCCAGGATTTAAGACCTTGGATCATCTTATCATATCCTGGCAGTTTTCATTCTAGTTGTGTGAAAATGCCTTATGCATCCAGAAACTAAGTACAAAAATAGTTTAATCAACTTTCTCCTCATAATGAATTTCTACACATTTATTTAGCCGGTCATTGTAAGAAAAACGCAATGTATGATTTAATTTTGAGATTTTAAGTAACTGGTTAATTTTATACAAATTCCATTTTCTTGTGCTTTAACTTTATATATTACCTAAAAAAAATTACTTTCATTAAAAATATTTGAAAAGCCAACTTTTAGATCATGACAATGTCAGAAGTAGTACTGGTCCTAAAACTGTGAATATAGTCCAATGGAACAGACCATTTGCAACACAATCATTAAATACAATGGTATTTTATTCCATCACCACAGCCAGGCATCACTCAGTTCCCTCTGTATACTGTTCAACTCTGTGAGGCTTGGTGAAGCAAACTCTGCCCCTGCAGCTCATGGAGGGCCATAGGGAGGAGAAATCCACACCACAGCCCATGGAAGATCCCATGCTGGAATAGCCTGAGGGGGCAGAGTTTGTGACCCCATGGAGAGCCCATGCTGAAGCAGGAGCCTGTCTGGACCTGTGAACCCATGGAAGGGGCCCATACCTCCTGCTGAAACTGTCACCTGGAACATAACACTACTCCTAGACATTTTCATTACTGATTGATTCTCTCTGCGTTATTCCCTTAATTCATAGAAAGAATGAAAACACAAAGGCACTTTAAAATATAAATTCACAGTATGACAGCATCTAGAGCCAATATTCATTTGGGTTGATAAGGAATTGGATGAGCTGTAGAGCTGCAGATACAGAAGAGCGATAGCTAAGCAAGGAAAATCATACCATCATTTAGAGGGAAAAAAAAATCCAAAAAACAATCTGGTCATGACTAGCCCTAGCTCAACAAACACATCATAAAGATGATTGACCTGAACCAGCTAGCCCTCCCCACTCACCCTGAAAGTAACACAGCCTCTTGGCCAGCAGTTAATGCTGTGAAGTCTTTTTTGGTATGACACTACAGCAGCCATTAATTTTGCTTCCCCTCACACAGTATGTGGCATTAAGCTTATAGCAGAAGATAATTCAACTGTTTTATTTATAAGAAAGTTTACCCTACATGGTGAAAAATGCATCATACAGAGCAGGAAGTGCTATAAGAACCACAGCACTTCTTGTGTAATAAATACACGAATGTTATATCTCAACCTTGGCTTTAAAATCAAGACTTGCGATGAAATCAAGAAGCTCATTATAAAAACAAATAAGATGGCAAGAAAGTGATTTGTATCTTTTGAGAAAGTCTGATACATAAATAGATGAATTTTCCTAGAAAGGATTTAAAATGCCAAGCACCTATGCATGAAGATCTTCCTGTAACTTCCAGTATGGGTTGAAACAAATGAATTGTTCCTTCTCTTTTGAAGTGTTTGGTAATCTAGAATACTTCCAAAATTAACAGAAAAATATTTTATTATCTTGATTTGGTTGAGATTATATCAAGATTTGGATTGACAAGGTAGTAGAGCTGCATTCTAAGATATTTAAATATTGGAGGGAGATAGTAACTTCCTCTGAAATTTTTATATGGGCTACATCTGACACCTGCTAAGTCTTCTTCTTTTGGCATTAGCCATTCAAGCCTTTCAAAGGCAGCCAAAACTGTGTCAGCAGCTGACCTTACTACAAACAGTTATTGGGTCACAAATCATTTGCCAGATAAGATAAAAGCCTCATCAATCTATTGTACATTTCAGGCAAAACAGCATAAATCTTTATTGCCCCGATGGGCAATTTTGTATTTGTTGGATTTTGCTTATTTTTCTCTTTAGCATAATTGGTATCATTACTAAAACTGCCTTGGCAGCTCAAAAGGATTTGGAGAATGTGGCTCTTCTGAGTCCTGTACTAGGAAGTGTCATGGAATCATAGAATGAATTCAAAGAAGTGATCTGGAGGATGGACACTAGACAAACTGTGCCTCACAATAAAATAAAAAACTTATTTATCATAGACTACTTTTGTCACGTAGGTGTCAAATCAGAGGTATTTCAAGATTCTGATCTGAGGGTTGGATGCTTTTTTGTTCTTCTGTGGATTTTTCTTCTTGCAACTTTTAGAAATGAAGGTAGAATTTTACACAAGACTTCAAAACTGTGTTTTCTCATGAAGACATTTGGAAATCCCTTTTCACCCTTGAAAACCTAAAGGAAAAAAGATATGCAAATAACTTCACTATTAGGCTGTACATAAAGTCCATTGATTACATAATTTATGTAATTTGAAGTTTAATAATTCAGAAGAATCTGATTTTTTTTCTTGGCCATGAAGTACAGTTTTGTAATCAATGTCAATGAGGCTTAAATCAGTATGTTTTTACTGACAATTTTCTGGGCTTTATGTTGACAATTAGAGTTTAATTTTTTTCCTAACTCAATACAGATAGATTACTTCAGAGACTTCATTTTAGCCACAGGCAGGACAGCAGCTGAGGCACACAGTTTTCTCCCTGGGATGTCAGTGCTTACTAAACACTTACTGAAACAATTGTCTATAAAAGGACAATAAATGTTTGCATCTTGGATATTGCTCTCCAATAAAATTATCACTTCACAAAAATGAATATCAGTCACCTGATACTATTACCATTATTAGTGCGAGCATTATGGCTGTTCTGTTCAACATATTTAATTGTAATGTTCTCTGCACAATGAAGTTCACAGCATGTTAAAAGAATAAATAATCATGTAATGAATAGAATCATACTTTTTACCACTGTTCTGTGACTTGAAATATTTCTAAATAATAATAATGTGCTATACTGGATTTTCAAGGAAGCTGGATTCAAATCCAGCTCAGGCTTGATGTTTCTCAAAAAATATGCCTTTCTAAGCAACATTTTCAAAACTCAACCACATTTCAGTACATTTTTATTGCATTTTTAAAAGAATCTTTGGTTTCAAAAACTTTCTCATTATTTCACTCAATTTTGCTTTACAATCATCTAGTTGTATGTGGTGTTTGAGAATAACTTTTTGAGGTGTTCTATACCGGGTGGGATCACAGAAGTCTAGTAACAGCAAGACAAGATTCCATATAGCTGAGTTGTCTAAGAGAAAAGCAGATGCCTAAGGAGACAGGCTGCTGAAAGATACAACAGCATTCTGCCCTACCTGTTATGGGTCTCTGGACTTCATCTAAAATATTCCTTCTGCTAGACAAAGAGATAAATTTTATCTTAATGAATAAATTATAAAAGAGTAAAATTATAAAATAGCAACAAAGTCAGGAAAATTACTGCAAACCATTGGATCTCAGTTTAAAAAACCCACCACTTTTCTCTTAAACCTAGTGGGCCTTCATCACTGTTGCTC